GGGATTTGGAAATAAGTACTAGCTTTTATGTGAATAATTTTTAAATGTGTGTGTACATTCCATTTCCTCCATTCTCTTCAATGTACCTTTACAGCCTTATGTTACTTTTTTAATGCAAATAGGAGGATCACTCTTTGCCCTGTTTTTCATGAAATGGATATAAATTTGCTTTTAGAAGTTTAAAAATTTCAGGAAAAGACCAGAATAAAGATGTTTCAATAAATGAGACATCTCCCTTTAAATCGAGAAGAACCTACAGTGATTTTTCAGAACCCATTTTTCAGTCTCTTTTACAGAGATGTCTTTTGGCTGAATGTTTTTTGTATATGTGTCAAATAGAATGGGACTGTCACCCCAGGATCAGTTTTGCAAGTAGCAGGAATGGAAATGATGATGATCATAATTAGGGTATTTCCTTGTGTTAATGCAGTTTTTCCAATCCTATTGAGATGCTCCAGTCAGACATCATAACATGTATAAAGAGGCACTGTGAGAATATGTTCAGACTGACATGAAAGAAGCTGGGGAACCAGAGAACAAAAGAATGATCAAAACCTGACTTTGCAGGGAGGGAGCAATGGAAAGAGCAGAAAATTCAGACCACCCCAGACAGCAGGTGTAGCTCTTCATTTCTGAAGAACAGTTAAAAATGCACCTGGTGAACAAGGATTGTGTCACAAGGCTGTGAGGGTAAATCTGTAGCAGAGAGAGGCAGGGGAGGGATCATTCCAGGGAAAATTACTCCAGCTGAAGGGTGAGGCAGAAGTTGTGCTTTTCCACTGCTACTGAAAGAAGCAGTTGAGGGCATAGGAGTTTGAGTGGAAAGCAAAAGTCAGACCTCTTTGACATCCCAAGGATCTGTACTAGGGACTTGACTGATTGAAGTAAAACTCATGTAATGTTCAAAGATTGGTTACTTTATTTTGCCCTGGTTCTGCCTCTCTAGTTCACGAGAAAACAATTATATTTCTTACAGTTTCTTACCTCTGATTTTAGTTTAAGAGCACAGGATATTTTTATGTAATTTGAGAGGTGTGGTACAAATTACTTTCTTTTGCCCCTGAAATCAATTGCACTGATGTTGGAACCTGCTGTGGTTTAAACCTGCAGGAAGATCAACACCCCAGAGCTGTTTGCTTGCTCCCCACCCACACCAATGAGATAGGGGAGAGAATTGGGTAAAAAATTCTAAAACGTGTGGCTCAAGATAAAGACAGTTTAATGGGACAGAATTATTAATAAAAATATTAATAAATACTAAAAATATTAATATATTCAAAACATTAATAAAAATATTAATAAAACCAGAATGTAGAAAGCAAACAATGCACAGTGCAATTTCTCCCATCCTGCTGAGTGATGCACAGCCCATTTCTGTGCAGTGTCCCCCTGGGCCCTCTCTCCCTAGTTTATTTACTGACACTGATACCACATGGTCTGGAATATCCTGGGTTCAGCTGGCCAGGCTATGACCCGTCCCAGCTCCTTGTGTACCCCCAGCCTGCTCACTCGTGGGGTAACACAGCACTTTTTCTTCTTCTGTTAGGAAGAAATTTAACTCTATCCCAGCCCAAACCAGGACAAACCCAAGCAAACTTGCCTTCAGATTCTTGCCTTGCTTTATTTTGGTTTAATGGTTTGTAAAGACTTGACCTTGCCTTTGCCTAAATTGTGAACCACAGCACAGTGGACAAAGATGGGCACACTTGGTCAGTGGGTGTGAGATGAAGATAAACATTAATAAGAATGATGATTCCTACAGCAATTAAGATATTTGTGTTTGGATACAAAGATACTGTCATGTTGGAAAAGGCTCTAAAATGAGTTGGTAAACTGATGATAAAATCCTAAAATAAAATAAAACACATCAAAAAATTGCAGCGTCTTAAAATTGACTGCAAAGAAGCCTTTTTATGTGCAATTTCACTAACACTCAATAGGTAAGTAGAACATATTTGATTTAGTTGTGCCATTTTCAAGTTGTGTTATCTGACAAACTTAGTACAGAATACATAATTAGATCATACTACTGTGTTTATGATAATGAATGCTACATTCACAATACTTGAAACTGCACATTAAGCAGGTATTTAATTTTTTATGGCTGTTTTTGACAGGTAACATTTTTCATCCTGAACATAAATCTGTCAGAAATTCTATTTGTACTAAAGGCTTACATGTAGTATATGACAATTTTGATTTTTAGCCAGCAAATTTGTGCAGGCATTTTATTTTCTAAGCAAAGTAGCTTTAAAGAAATTCATTGTAATTGCCATTTCTTTATTGTATTACCTCATTAACAATATAAAGCAAGTTTTAGAACACTTAAAATTATAGTATTTATCAAAATGTTATATATATCACAAGTAAAAGCCGCCTGATACACAAACCCCCACTTTTAGTTGCTGGCAATTGATAGAATGGGAATGAGCAAAAGCAAAGAATTCTAAGTTGAGATCTGACAACTTTGAACTGGATGTGGTAGATGAAAGCACCTCTGTGTTTCTATTCAGGTTAATTTTACTGGGTAGTAAAGCAGTGGAAAACATGTCACAAGAAGAAGAGGAAACATGAGAAAGCTCAAACATGGAACTGAGTTTCTTATCTAAATGTGATATTGTAGGCTCTAACACTGCAGGAATTGCCTTGTACATTCTGAATGCAGTGACTACAGTGTAATCCTTAAGAGTTCCTGTTCATTGCTAATTAATTAATCACAACACTGGCTTTGCTGCCCCCTGTTTGGCTGGAAAATATTGTGAACACATATGTGTGTAATACCAAATAGCTGGATTCACAAAGTCAAATTTCTCTCCTACAGAAACAAGATAATCTACCTTGGCACCAGACCTTATCTTATCTTTAATATTATCAATATGAATGTAATGAAAAGAAATTACTTTTGGACATGATGCAGAAAACAGTTTTAAAATATGTAGCTACTCTAATCATAGTTTCTGCACTCATGATCTCTCTGGTGATTTTTGTTGCTAGAAAAAAAGTGAAATAGCATGGAAATCTCTGGACAGTCCTTTTGGCTCCTACAGCCCCAGGCTGCATTTACTTCAGGAAGATAATTTAAAATGGGGAAAATAATTTGTCCTTTTTGCAGTCGTGTGTGAGGCCTTCATAAGCTTGTATCCCCTGCAGGCTGAGTAATGGGGGACAGAACTGAGGAATCAGAGATGTGAGTGAATGCATATTGCATTTCCTGGAAACACCCGTGCTGATTTAATGTGGGCACTGGATCAGGCTCTGAGAGTGCAGGGGAGAGCCTGGCCCAGCAGATGAGGGTTTAATAGACTTTCCTTCCTTTAAGATGCTCTAGAAAGCACAGAAATACACACTGGGGAGCCTGGAGAGCACACGATAGGTGTGTGGAATAGAGGCTTATCTACAAATAAGTCCAAGAAGAGGAAGATTATATTTATCATAAAGCGATTGGGAAAAGCAGTGTGCCTATGAATCAGACACTGCATCATCTTCTTTATCTGCAGAACTGATAGTGGAGAAACACAGATGTGCCCTTTTCTGTGAAGTCTGCATTCCTGCCTCAAAATGGAAAGTCTCCAAATCCTGTGAAAGTGACGCCAAAGTGATGATTAACTTTATAGGCTAAATCACCTTCATTAAGTTTCATGTGATCAAATGAAAGCTTTTCTTCTTAAGCATTGCTTTAAAAGAGAAACAACACAACTACTCTGGGGCCTAGAGTATAGATACTGCAGTCCCTAAGATTGGAGGCTGTCAGAATTTACTGCCTGTATCATCTGAAATATGAATATTTTATTCTAAATACTTTGGTTAAGGCTTGCTTCTCATGATGTGGTAGAATTTAATGAACATGCTTTCCTAAATAATTTTATGTTCTGTAGTGCTTTGGTAAAAAGGTAGGAGCACATAATTCTCAGCTGCATCAAGAAAATGAGTCGTGCCAATTACTTAAATTGTACTTTGAGTAATTTGTGCCTTATATCTGCAGTTAATTAGTAACTTCTACACCTGGCTTTTGTCAGAAACACCCCCAACCCCATCCCCTGTTTGGTTTCTCATCTTTACAACTGTGCTTGCTGCATTGTTCCTTCCAAGAGTGTTTGCTGTAAATGTGACAAAGATGAACAGCCATGATGAGTACAGATGGACAAAGATGATGACTGCAGGTGGCAAATGGGGGTCGGAAACATAATGGGCACAGTTTCAAGGACTATTCAGTCATTAACTGAAGGAAATATTTAGATACCAGCGTGGGGCATGACAATTTCATCCTGCTGGATGAATAATAATGTTGATGGCCAATGTGGTAGATTTAAATGACACCTTGCTTCATGTGCACAGGATAAAAGAAATGGATGGCAATGAATCAGCTGTGGGACAAGGGAGACAAATGCTGTGCTCTGAAATGAAAGCTCAGCAGAAGCCTATGGAGGGAGACCCCACCTTGTGAGGGAGCACTGGCAAAGGCCAGCCCTGGAGTGTGGAGCCAGAAGGGAAAAACAGTTATAGATTTAGTAGAAATAGATCTCTGAGTTTTACTTCATAGGGAAAAACATTCCTGAAGCCAGGAAAAGAATGAGTTTAAAGTGAGTTAAAATTAGTTTAAAGTGAGTAAAGAGGTATTTAAAGTAGCTTGGGAGCCTCTTGTGAGCATGGCTCAGGAGGTGGTGAGGAAAGCCTTGTCTCTGGGTGCTGTGGGATCTGCTGACCAGATCCAAAGCAGGAAGGATCCTCAAGAAGTAAAAGCACAACCCAAAACCAAACCCAGATAAATGTGGGGGCTGGTCCTACTCATATCTGGGTCAGCCCTTCTGACCCTTATCAAGCTCAATCAGTTTCTACTAAAATCCACAGAGAAAAACTGAACCAGACTGTTCAGACTGTGCCCCAGAAACAGGGACACTACTGAACTGTGGGGCACAGAGGAAAATTGTGAAGGTAATTACCAAGAAGAATTACTAAGAATAATTAATGAATTATGCTTTTTAAAATCTCACAGTTCCTACCTGGCCTAACAGCAGGTGACTGTCATCTGGTTTCAAAAATAGAAAGATGAATTAGTATGTTTCCAGACAGTTGTGTGGCTGATCACTTTTATTTGCCACTTGTTTCTTTTGTTCTTTCTTCTCAAGAAACCTCCCTGCTCTTCACTGTTAAGAAACATTTAAGTAAGTCATTAGATATTATGTAATTAAATGCAATATTCACGTTTTAAACTCTTTAAGGAAATTCTCCTTATAAGTAAAAATGTGATAATGTATAGAAAGGAAAACCTCAGAATTAGTTGGATTTTGATTTCAAGGTTTTGATTGTGGGCTGTATATTTTGAAAAATATGATAAAGAATGTGGAATTTCAGATACTTGTTGGAGCTTCTTAGTAAATGCTCATAAATTAACAGTAGGTTGGATGTCTCTGAAAAATGTATTTTTTCAGAATCTATTTGGGAGTAATTTCAATTTGTTTCTTTCTGTACATTTATGCAGGTAAATGGGATCTCAGCCAGTTGGTGATTCTTTTTCTGGGGAACAACCAAATAAAAGTAGAGTTTAGTGCTATTATTTTAAAGTAAGAACCTTTTTATGAGCTGGTGAACTTTTAAATTATTTCTCTATTTTAATTTTTAACAATTCTTTGGAATGGTTGCAGGCTAAGTGGTGCACCTGGAAGAGTGCAATTATGTCATGATGAGCAAAGTAGAATATGTCATATGAGCTCTAGTAGAATTGCTAGAAGTGCTATTTATCAGCACTGGAGTCCCTAAGCCTTGGACACTTCAAGGAATAATAGAAGTAATCCTGTGCCATTTCCCATTTTCCTGAGGTGCAGCATTATCATAGTTACAACTTTTTCTATCTGCGCTAATGGGGAAGCACAAGAAGAAGAGGAAAGAATGAGACAGAGTAATGATAGGAAGGAACCCTTTTGGCAGAAAGGGAGAGGAGCAGGGTTTGCATGATGTTGTTCTTGGTGTCCCGGTGCTGCTCTAAGATCCTGTTCAGCTCAGGACAGAGGGCATTGTGTGTGTTTAATTGTCAGGAGCTGTTCTGGCCTCAGAAAGCAAACAATGGCAGTCTTGTGCTCATCTCTCATGGAGAAACCAACAAGGACAATTCTAAAACACTTTCTGTAGCTGTGCCCCTCTCTCAGATGTGCTTCCTGAGCTTCACATACATCGGTGGCATTGTCCCGTCCCGCTGCAAAAGGGGGAGTCGGGAAGGATGCTTTTTGATAGATTTATCGGACGAAAATAAAGTGCTAATAATGAAATAAACTGCGGCAATATTCTATCTGATAACTGTTTATAGATAAAGAAGGACAGGCGTTCCTACGGAAGTGGGATAGAAAATAAAGCAGAGAGGGGGAAAAGAGAGCCAGAGAGAGAAACATTATTCAGGGACAGATGGTTACCGCAAGGGCGCCGGCTGGGCAGACGGGGCGTGTGTGCTGGGTGGATCCCGGTACCGCATTTCCAAACACCTGCAGGCCCCGTGTCCCTTCCTTCGGCGGAGAGCAGGCCGCCACAGCCCGGGGCTCACTCCTGAGCAGCTGCAGGCCCCGTGTCCCTTCCTTCGGCGGAGAGCAGGCCGCCACAGCCCGGGGCTCGCTCCTGAGCAGCTGCAGGCCCCGTGTCCCTTCCTTCGGCGGAGAGCAGGCCGCCACAGCCCGGGG